AAACATTTGACAGATTTCAGGATTTATTCTCTAAAAAACCCAAGCAAACCTTATAGCCCTCTTTTTCAAGCATAAAGGAAGAGATATACATAGGTATATCCATATATATATATGGGTGTCCATATAAGAAAGATGCAAATTGACAGTACCTTCGGGACACCCACCAACCAATCTGGAGTGGGTATGCAAATTAACCCAACAAAGATGGCGGGTTAATTTGCATACACAGGCGCAGAGTGGCAGAGGGTGGGATGGGATGCAGGCATTCCGCACCGCCCCAGCTGCTCCAGGCCTCTGGGCAGCATGGAAAGGCGGGAAGGCGGCTCCGGCCAGAGCGAAGGTGGTGCCGGCAGCCAGGGGAAGGAAGGCCCATTCTTGCACGAATCTTCGTGCATCAGGCCTCTAGTATATAGATAAAACAGCAAAGATGCCAAATGTTAGCAATTACTGACTTACTGGTAGATGTGGTATTCTCTGTATTATTCTTTTTATGTTTGAAATATTTAATAAAAATTAAGTTTATCTAATAATACATATTAGATAAAAACCTCTCTCTGCGTCTCTCACACACACACAATTATATTTCAATGCACACCAAGAGAAAAGCTAACCTTGCAAAGACTAGCACTACCAAGTGTCAGTGAAGATGCGAAGCACTGAGATCTCTCATACATAGCTGGTGGGAGCACAAATCAACAGAATCACTTCAGCATCATCTAGTAAAGCTGAAGGAACATATCCCATGACCCAGCAATTCTAATCCAAAGTATCTACCTTACTTAAATGTTTGTACTTGAGTATAGTGAGACATGGATGAGCATGCCCAGAGCAGATGTATTCCACAAATTAAAATCCCCAAATTAATAATAATTAAATTCCACAATTAAGTGCATTTGTAAAAACATGCTGATTACTCATACAAGAATACAACAATACAATGAATTAATTACAGCTGTGTGCAACATGAATGCCTCTCAGAAACATTAGTTTGGTAAAAGTAGCCAGAACCATCCCCCTCCCCCGCCAAAAAAAAAAAAAAAGAAATACACTGTATGGATCCATTTCCATAAATTTCAAAAACAGATAAAATCAAGTAACAGTGTCCATGGATGTATACTTATGTAGTAAAATTTTAAAGAAAAGTAAAAAGTGTGTGTGGTATGTAAGAACATGGGTCCCTTCCCAAGCTCCAGCTCCCCCTCCTACCCTATGGGAATATAATGAAGGCCATCTGAAGGGTACTGTGCGACCCTGGGTGCCGGGCCAGCTCCTTGGTCAAGGAACAGTAAAAAAACAAAACAAAAAAAACCTGTTCCTGGATGTGAGCCCAGATTGTAAACAGTGGACATGTTCATCTCACACAGCTTTGTGTGTGAGTACATCCAGCCTGCTTGCACGATCTATCACCGTTTGCTTTGTTTCTGTACTCTATATAATCCTGTTTTGCCAGAGCCTGTGTTGTGGAGACTTCACCAGCATGCCTCCCCAAGGCTAAGACCTAATAAATTCATGCCTTTCACAGCCAGTCTTCCAGGTTATTTCTTTGGAATCAGCAAGCAATATGCTGAGGCCTGCTCAGACCTCAGCTCTTTCCATAACAAAGTGACTCGCCATAAAGTGCTCGCAGTAATTACCTTTGAAAAGGGGCACTACAGTTGAGAAGTGATACGCAGGAGGTCTTCAGAGGCTAGCAGTGTTTTATTCCTTAACCTGGTAAGGGGTTTACTTTATATAAAAAAATTAAACTGTACCGTTATGCTCAGTATACTTTTCTAATTGTTGCCTTGCGGGTAGAATAACTGGCTCAGGGGCACACATGAAATAACAGATCGGGACCTCAGTCCAGGTCAGATGCATCATCCCATGCTCCTAGAACAGTGGTTCTCCACCTTCCTAATGCCGCGACCCTTTAATACAGTTCCTCATGTTGTAGTGACCTCCAACCATAAAATTATTTTCGTTGCTACTTCATAACTGCAATTTTGCTACTGTTATGAATCGTAATGTAAATATCTGATATGCAGGATGTATTTTCATTGTTACAAATTGAGCATAATTAAAGCATAGTGATCAATCACAAAAACAATATGTAATTATATATGTGTTTTCTGATGGTCTTAGGCGACCCCTGTGAAAGGGTCGTTCGACCCCCAAAGGGGTCGCGACCCACAGGTTGAGAACCGTTGTCCTAGAAGGAAAGTTTCTCTCCTGTTTCTGCTCACTTGGAGCTTTTCCTTAAATTTTTTCACTCATTAATAAGACATTTCATTCAGCTGTGAGTAATAAAAACTAATGGAATAAGATGAGGTTTTCATTTGCTCTCATCCAACAATAAATCTCTCAGTTAAGTCATTGCTGGTGTTGGATTTGGGATTGAAGGGGGAGAGGGAGTGCAGAAAAGGGGCACCAGACCTCTGTGATGGTCTAGCCCTTCTCCTCATGGCCCCAAACTGGGCCAGTATTAGGACATGTGGCACCTTTGTGAAAAATATTAAAAAGGTGCCATTCTTGCAGTTGAAGTAAACAGGACTCATCCCACCTCTGGGTGAACAATTTACTGAAGGACATGCCCACCAACAAAATCAGGGTCTTACAGCTGTCTCCACCATACTCGCCTGTGAGTCTGGACATCTCAAGTGAACCTCATCACATAGTACTAAAATATAAAGCTGAGGATCTGAGTTCTAATGTAAAAATGACCACCACCCAGCCGGAACCGGTTTGGCTCAGTCGATAGAGCGTCGGCCTGCGGACTGAAGGGTCCCGGGTTCGATTCTGGTCAAGGGCATGTACCTGGGTTGCGGGCACATCCCCAGTGGGAGATGTGCAGGAGGCAGCTGATCGATGTATCTCTCTCATCGATGTTTCTAACTCTCTATCTCTCTCCCTTCCTCTCTGTAAAAAATCAATAAAAAATATTTAAAAAAAAATAACCACCACCCAAACCTACACCGATTGCTAAATATTAGTTAGAGGTCCATCTAATGGCAAAACCTAGGCAATGCATCCCATGGGCTCAGAGAGTTCACTCCCATTGCAACTATCCTTGCAGAGGCTGGAACGGAGCTGTCACAGGTTCAGTCATGGCAGTGCCCCTAAGCTCTGCAGCCCCAGGCTACAAAAATGGTAGTTTTACTGTGGTATCCGCTTTCATGCTTTGGTCAGTTTGCTTTCAGAGCCAAGAAAATTCACTTGGACCCACATTCACTTCCCTCATCCACAGGAAAAAAATCAGGAGGAGAGTAGTTTTCATTGCATACAAGTAAAGATGGGGCTGAGTGGGGGAAGAGAGAGCATAAAGCAGGCTAGCGTTTGAATCAGTGTTCATACTTACAACTCACAGCAACCAAAGCCATAACAGTAAGGGAGATGCACAACAGGCACAGCAACTACATTTATAAAGTATGAATCAAACCACTACATTTATAACTGCCAGATTATTGTCTGCCTACACAATTGGTAAACTTGGGGAAGTGCAGTTTTTTCTCTCCTAGATCCACATCAATCCTTAAAAAGGACTTCAGAGAAGCCCTATGTCCACCCTCGGTGATTAGATTTTACCCTATTTCAGCGGTTCTCAAACTGTGGGTCGAGACCCCTTTGGCGGCTGAACGACCCTTTCACAGGGGTCGCCTAAGACCATCCTGCATATCAGATATTTACATTACAATTCATAACAGTAGCAACATTACAGTTATGAAGTAGCAACGAAAATAATTTTATGGTTAGGTCACAACATGAGGAACTGTATTAAAGGGCCAGAAGGTTGAGAACCACTGCCCTACTTTCAAGCTAATAAGTTAGCCTATTGCTGTTTTTCACATGCTGCCAGAAGACAAGGGGTGGGTCAGAAACAAGAGACTTCATCAGCATCTCTGCACTGGTCCTTCTCACCCCAGAGTCTCATGGGAGCAGCCAGGTGGCATAACCCAGAGGGATGCCACACAGGCAAGGTGTGTGCATGACAGCAATGAACCCCAGTTTGGGGAATCCGCTGCTTTTATAGCAAGCCTGCTCTTTGTCCGGGTGCAAAAACAATCCTGAGAAATGGCTAAGATCATAGAACCGTGGGATCTTGCATTCTTGGCACACACCACAGGACATGAGAGCCCAAGGAGCCCAGGAGGACTCTCTCTTCCAAGTGACCACCTATGTTGTGACAGGATAGTAGAAGCTACAAAAGTTCCTGGGCAAATGGAATAGGGAAACTGAGGCAAGGAAACTAAACAAGGCTAAACAGTTTGGGCAGCTTGCAACCAGCTTGCAGCAAGACCTTATTTTCCAACCAAAGACACTTGAGAGCAAATGATTACTACCTCTCCTCCGAAACCAGAGGATACATTGCTTAAATCAGCCTGGAACCGCCACGGCAGGAGAGGGAAAAGAGGAACTTTTATCTCACTCACTGGACAAAGAAGTCAGCAGTCTTGGGACTTGCCAAATGTTCTCTTAAATTCTAGGAAAAGCCATGACAAAGTAAAAGGGAGGACCTTGAAATCTAGTCTGTGCCCAACATATCCAGCAGAGGAACCTTGAACCTTATAGGAAGGAGGGTAACACACCTCTTGAACCCCCCTGGGCAACGCTGAGTGCCCCCTGTGCTTTGTGCCAGGTGGATTTTGATAGATTTACCTGCCTTACTTCTTTAATAAATTTGCTTGCTTTGCCTCCTTAGTAAATTAGCTTGCTTCACTACAATCCTGTTGTCACTCATTTGAATTCTTTCTCAGGAGCATGGTAAGAACTGGGGAGGAGACCACCCTCTCCCTGCGATTCAGGGGGCTGTCCATAATGTTTTCTGGTGTTTCTGGTGTCCCATAACAATGTGACTGGAAAGCCAGAGCCACATGATTAACAGCCCTACTAGAATCTTGTGGAATTGAAAAATGCAATTCCCAAAAGAGGAAGTGCAGGGATAAACAAAACATACCAACAAAAGCACTCTTGACCAGCCCGAAATTAACTGGAGTTGGATATTACCCAACCAATGTACTCACATGTACGCACAGGCAAATCCTACCAGGAAATGGAGCACCCACCACTTTCTCTTTTCCTGCTCTGGCTGTCTCCAGGAAGACCCTCTGCCCAGTTCTTGGCTCCTGCTGAGCTGTGGAAATGTGTCTCCTGAGGCCACAGAGGAGCAGCTGCTTCCGATGCCCAACGCACTCGAGTCTGAGAATTTTAAACTCGAGTTTTAAAGCCACAGGTGCCTACCCAGAAAAAAGGGAACACCTACCTTTTTCTTTGTGTCAGTCCAGTGGTTCTCAACCTTGGCTGCACATGAGAATCACCTGGGAATCTTTTTAAAATCTGATTTCTGGGCCTCATCCTCCGGAAATTCTGTTTCTTTGTTACTAATGTTGTGGCTCCACCCCATAACAAAGAAACAGAATTTCCGGAGGATGAGGCCCAGAAATCAGGATTTTAAAAAGATTCCCAGGTGATTCTCGTGTGTAGCCAAGGTTGAGAACCACTGTGTTAGTCCATTATACTTGACCCAAACACTATTCTTAGTATCGAGGTTACCACGGCTTTTAAGGAGCAGATTTTGCCGTTTTACTCCTCTTTCTCAGGCACTCTCTCCTCCCTAAATTGAATGCAGATGTGTATGTGGAGGGGGTGGGGGGAGCAGGGAGGGCAGGCCCAGAGGTCCAATCCGGACAGACCTCCATGAGGACCCCACTACCCTGAGGAGTTTCTCTTCTGGGAGATTTCCTAGCCCCTTTATAAGGATCCAGGCTGGTACTACATAGCTTGTAAGAACTGCCCACACCTGAAAGGGGTGGACTTTAATTAGGGTTGAATTCAATCACCTTACTCTATATACATTTTTAGTATATCATCCCTCTTATTCTGCCTTCCTTTGTCTTCCCTTCCTCTATCAGCTCTTATTCCTTTTCTCCTTTCCTACATCTAACAGACAAACCCAAAGAGGAAGGGATAAGGGGGTTGTCAGAGTTGGGAATTATCAGGACTCATGAAAACAAGCCATTTCAGTTCCCAATTGTCATCTCAAACTCTGACTTAAAAAAAAAATCCTCCTGAGAAATTAAAACTTTCTGGCACAGATTCCCATGACCATTTGCAGATGTGCAGTGTCGTTGAGCCCTCTAGTGGCGGAGCCAAGGCCATTGGTGTTACCTGTGATGAGGAACAAACACTCCACCTGGAGGCAAAGAGCAGCAGGCTGAGGGTGGAATGGACACTGCTGATGATACTGTATAGGACACGGACTTTAGGTGACCAGTTTTATCTGTACTCACCTCCCTAGGTCTTTGTGACCAATGGATTAGGTTTCTAGGAAAGCTAGCAAAGATCAAGTACCCACAGAAGAAAGCAAGGCCAACCTTGGCCTGATTAGCACAATGAGCTATTCTCCAAACTTCAGTCTAACTCTAAAGCGGGAATGGCAAACAAGTTTTCCATTTTATTAGCAACACACAGTGACCAATACTGAATGCCTAGAGAAGGGGTCAGCCTTCTTCCATTTCTGTGAAGGGTCAGATAATAAGTATTTTAGGCTTTTGGACCATATGGTTTCTGCCACTGGAATACAAAAGCAGCCATGGACAATATATAAACAAGGTTGTGTCCCAATAAAACTTTATAAAAACAGGTGGTGGGCTGGATAAGGCCCTCAGGGCATAGATTCCATGCTCCCCCTCCCCCACACCCTCACCTACTCCTAGAGCCCATGGTATTGTAATGGAGTATGAGGATGCCTCCAGGCTCAGGAGGAGTGCTGTAATCAATAAGCCTTGCCTGCACCGGTACTGTAAAGTGGAACTATAGGTTCTAGATCAGTGGTCCACAAAGTGGGTTGTGCCTACTTCAGATTGTGTACATGATCCACTGAGACATGTGAAAAAAAAATTAGATTTTTTATGTATTTTTATCTTCTCTGTTTTCATTTTAGACTACTGATCATATCTACCCCATCATGGATCCATGAAATTTGCAGTGAGTTAATTCTTCTGTAATGTGCTAATGAGAAATCAGGTTTACAAACCTCTGAAGAGGATGTCACGACAGACGTGCCCTGGAGTGGCAGTATCTGTCCGTTGCATCTCCCTGCGGGTCTGGTGCCTTTTTAATTCCACAAAGGTACTGCATAGGGTAGCAACAGCCACAGCTACATAATGCCTCTAGTAGGAAAGAATGGAAAAGAAAGAAAATACATTAAGTACAATAGATTCAAACTCTTCTGGGAGCAGAGATATCATATAAACACCCTATACAGTGTAGGGAGACTTTCCAGAGGGAACCAGAGTTTGAGTGCTGAATCCTTAGCACAAACCTCTAAGACAGTGGTTCTCAACCTTCCTAATGCTGCGACCCTTTAACACAGTTCCTCATGTTGTGGTGACCCCCAATTTCATTGTTACAAATTGAACATAATTAAAGCATAGTGATTAATCACAAAAACAATATGTAATTATGTATGTGTTTTCCGATGGTCTTAGGCAAACCCTGTGAAAGGGTCGTTCGACCCCCAAAGGGGTCGCTACCCACAGGTTGAGAACCACTGCTCTAAGAGTAAGGGCTGAAGCTGATGGTCTACCTTCTACTCATGGAGGTAAAGGGGCACAGGAACAGAAATTCTTTCTTTCCCCATCCCGGCTGCCCTCCCTTTCACACAGAGAAGAGGAGCTGGAAGAGGCCATCAAAGCTGTCACATTAACCCACACAGAAGCAAGTGATGAAGTAAGACTCTCCTGAGACCAGAGCCAGTTGTTGTCTTGTGGCTTCCCAGTACGCATTCCCCTTTCTCCTGGTAACAGCTCCCCACTTTCCCTATGGGAAATAAGTTCTGCCCCACAGTGCAAAGTCTCTGGAATTGCCAAACAAAACACCCCGCTGTCTACTGGCTAAACAGATGGTCACACAACTCAAGCTCAGCTAGTTGTGCTCTCCCTCTCCAGAGCTCCTGTGATGGTCAAATTTATGTGTCAACTTTACTGGGACATGGGGACATGGGGACATGGGGTATCCAGATATTTGGTCAAACATTATTCTTTCTGTTGGATGAGATTAATATTTTAATTAATGGAGTAAAGCATGTTGTTCTACAAATGTGGGTGGATTTCCTCCTGAGTAGGACAGAATAGAACAAAAAGACCCTCCCTGAGTAGGAGAATTGTGCAGCTGCCTGCCTTTGGACTTCATCTGCAACATCAGCCCTTCCTGCCTGGCAGCCCTTGAACTGGAACATATGCTCTCCCTGGCTCTCCAACTCCAACCTGCAGCCCACCCTGCAGATTGGGCTTGTCAGCTCCATATTCATGTGAGCCAATTCCTTAAAACAAATCAATCTCTCTGTCTCTCTAGATAGGTAAGTAGGTAGATAGATAGATAGATAGATAGATAGATATAAGATACATATCCTATTGGTTCTGTTTTTCTCTGGAAAGCTCTAATACACTCACCCCCTGGGTTTTGATGGGTTAGTACAGACACTTAAAAATATAAGAATAGTTGAGAGCATTCATTCCAGCAGTGATGTCCTGATGAGACTGTCAGGAACCTAGCTCCTGCTACCTAAACCCCTCCAGAGATGTTGTCAGTCTTCCTAATAATATCTTCTTTTGTTTGCCACTGAAGTGGCCTGAGTGACACTAACATCCTCCCTTCAGAGACAGCTAGCTCTGCCCCTTCTCTGGGTCATCTTGGATAAGCCAGATGCCAGTCTTCCAGAAGGAGGGAGTGAAATGATCCTACGTAATTCTTGAGAGCTACTTCTTATGACTGCCCTAAGAAAAAACACCTGCGGTCCCACCAGTAGTCTTGTCTAATGTATTCACTTCAGGAGAATGAAGCAGGATCACCTGCATCAAAACAGCTTCTCACCTAGACAGCCTCCAAACCATCTTTTCTCTTCTCCTGCTTAAAACCTGAGAAGATACATTACAATGAGCACTACATTGCTTTTGCCTCATTATGACTTGTTTAAAGTTTAATATTCATCACCAGAAGCCTTTTTAATGCCCTTCCCCCAAGGCCACAGGATTTATTCTGGGATTAGATAGGACACAAGATGAAAGAAGCTGATGAGTAGTCAGACAGGGTTTCTCATCAGGTAGCACCAGTTATTTAACACAACTGAAACTCTATCTTGCAGCAAGTAAGCATGCTATTTGCTCACCGTGGGGGTTTCAATGACTACCCACAGTTTACTTTAGCACTCCTGGCAAACTCTGGAGCCGGCTTGCATAATGCAGTGTCTAAAGAACATAATTCCAGTTGAAGAGAGCATATTTGCAGTTAAAAATAGAACTCAGTCACATAACCAATTCATACATAAATCGTGAGGCTGGGGGAGGGTCAACATTAAATAACAGTCACTGGGGTTCCTGAACACCTGTCCCAGTCATTCAGAGCCTGTGTTCTCTGGAAATTGCCAGCACACTGATGCCAGCCCTGCCTTGAAATCAAATGGTAAAAATAAACAACCTAACTGACCCAGTTAATCCAAGAAACATGAGTGTACCTTTAAGCAGACAGCAATTCAGGTGGCTTCTCCAGGCCAGGCCTCCTTGGGGATTTAGCTCTGTGTTCTAAAAGAATTAACTGTTGTAGATCCAGTGGCAGACATGCTGGGTTTATAGCTGGATTGAAAGCTGAGACTGAGTTAGGTCTCAATTCCATCCCCACTGATGCGTTTTCACTGTACATACATGTGTTATGCTCTGTACAGAATGCACCAAGGTCCCTTGCTTCTTCTAAACAGATGTGGAGTCTCATGACCCACTGCTTGGGCTTGCAAAGGACTAAGAATTACAAAAGAAAGTCCCTTAGTATGTGGTTTCCATACCAGAAAACACATTAAAACAGTAGTATAGATCTAATTGGAAAGGTTGTCCCAGATAAGAAATAGAAATTTCATGCCTGGATACATATAGAGCTAAGCTGTCAGAACTATCGATTCTGTGACATGCTACCAGAAGAAGGGATGTGAAAGTAAATAAAGGAGCTGCCTCCTATCTTAACCCTGCCCCCACCAGCCTTCCAGCCAGGCAAATTGCTTCTCCTCTCTGTGCTTCTCTTCCCCTCTTAAAAATAGGTCTGCAATGTGTTTCCCTTCCAAGCTCACCACAATGGTAGAAGGTTTAATTTGGACATTTGTGTTAGTCTTTTGTTTCTGATTCTGAAATTCTAGAGCAATAATACTTCTGTGCTTCACAATCACCTGCGAAGCTTATAAAATTATAGTACCCAGGCCAAACCCTGAGATTCTTGAGTGGTGGGTCTCAGGCAGAGATAGATTAAAAAGTGCCCAGGTGATTCTAATGTGCAACCAGGAATGAGAACCATAAGCCATGATAGGAAAGGCTTCCCCAGGAAAGTGTGGATTCTCCCACCACCTCATCCAAATCTTGAAAGGCTTTCCTTTCATGGGGTTGAATAAATTGTTTTGTTCCCAGACCTTCTCTCACCAACTTCCCCACCCCTCTGCCAGCATCAATCAGCATAGGAATGAGCTAATTTTGGAAAGGTGGCTGGGGACTTTTTATTGTTTTTAACTGAAGCAAAACCCTAAGTAGCTCTTAACTGTACTATGGCCTTTATCTCAAAGTTTATCTTTTAGAATCTACACAGTATTGGAGCATTTGTAACCAACCAGAGGTCCTTACAATCCTCAGTCTGTGCTGCCTTCATACCAGCCGGTACATGTCACCCTCTGCTGTGCCATAGGTCATTATTAGGCAGGGATGCCTTCGTGTTAAGCACCCCATCCTATATAATAAAAGGCTAATATGCAAACTGACCGAACAGCGGAACAACCGGTTACTATGATGTGCACTGACCACCAGGGGGCAGATGATCAATGCTCAATGCAGGAGCTTCCCCTTGGTGGTCAGTGAGCTCCTACAGGGGGAGCGCCACTCAGGCAGAAGCCCTGAGCTGGGCTCACAGGGAGCGGGCCTAAGCCAACAGTCAGATATCCCCCAAAGGCTCCCGGACTGCAAGAGGGCACAGGCCGGGCTGAGGACCCCCCGCACCCAAGTGCATGAATTTCGTGCACCGGGCCTCTAGTCCTCCTATAAAATGTGAATGATTCAGTGTAGAGGATCTGTAAGTCCTTTGGTGAGGGACTTAATGCCTCAGTGTGGGCTAATTAGTCCCATGTTTTACTCTACTCCTTGCTCCCCACTAAGCTCCATGCCCTTCCTAACAGATGTCTTGTTGCTTTGCTCCGTGGGTTAGTTGTGTTTCTCACTGGAATAAGTTCTGAAGGACCTATTGTTCATCCTGTAACCGCCCACAGCCTATACTTTGGTTTTTGCCCTTGAAAGCACCCTGTGTGCTTCTGCTGTTTTGAATCAGACATTTAGAAGGAGCTAGAAATCTTAAAGAGAAACCAAAGGACACAGCAAGATCATGGAGTGGACTGAAGCAAACAGGAGGCTTGCTTGTTCCAGTGACGGAGGAAGCCAAGGTTCCCCGCCTGCCACCGCCCAGCTCTCAGCTGCACTTTAAGCAACTATGTTGCAATTATAGAAGCTAAACAAACCCCAGAAACCTGCTTTCAGCCAGCCGGGCCTCAGAGCTGGAGTTGAAACAGTATTTCAATTATAGAACACAAACAAAGCCCAGAGACCTGCTTTCAGCAGACGAGGCCTCAGAGCTGGAGCCGAGCC